TGATCTGATAGTAAAATTTGATTTAGGGAGTCAAATTATATGTGTACTTCACTGTTATTCAGTTATTTACATACAGTATTAGAGGCATGAAGTCCATCTGGAAATAGTAATACGATATCCTACAAAGCAAACTTTCTCTGTTTCTGGGTTTGAATGTTAAACTTCATCTGGATCAGACTCTTTTGTTGCAGCCAATATGGCCGCCTGCTGCACAGAGTACTTCAATTCAGCAGACGACTGATCTTCTCTCACACAGAGCTCCAAGAGGCTCTGCTGACACCTGGCAGCCCTGTCATCTGCAGTCTGGCCATAAGTTCGGTATTTCCCTGCTGATTACGCAGCGCACAGGTAAAACCTGACCTTGTCTGACCGTTGCCGAGGCTCTACATGATGGTGAGACACCGAGGAACAAACAGAGCGCTAACCTTTGGGAGGAGGAAGCAAACATCACAGACTGTTCCCACTGGCTCTGACTACCGCCATCCCCTTAAACTGTCTCCCTCGTCATCCTCTCCCCTCTGTTTTTTACTCACACCCTCCCTCCTTCCACCTCATCATGATTCTCTCTCTCTCTCTCTCTCTCTCTCTCTCTCTCTCTCTCTCTCTCTCTCTCTCAGTAAGTTAGCAGCCTCTCTTCACGCCCACTAAGACACTCAGGCTCCCACAGAGACATATGGGGATAAGGTTGGCCCACTTGGAAAATGTGCTTCCACAGTTATAAAAAGATCCTTTGAGACTGGAGTGGAAAAGACTAAATAGGTGACTGCAGGAAATTATCTGGGTTTCTAAGCACATTTTCTGGTGGGGAGCTGTCAGCACTTCTGTAAAATAATGCTGGCAGCCGTTCTCCTGCGGCTCCCACTCAAATCAGGCCAGCTTGGCAGCTCCATACCAGTGTCCACTCTTTGTCCACTGACCCTCTTTCTGCTCGTCCCTCAGGACTGTGCGGCCAGTAAAAAGGAAAATCCACTCTCACTTCTAAACAAAAAAGCCTAAACAGATCTGCATCCCCCCAGCCTGTAGTTTCAAGAGCTCTGTGCCAGAAACACAGACGCTGTCAGACTCATGCGTTTTCTGCAGCTACAACTGAGTCCAGCAAAGAAAGGAGACAGAGAGAGAGAGAGAGAGAGAGAGAGAGAGAGAGAGTGATTTTAACTCTCCAAAGCGTTGGCAGAAAGTGTCAGGTTTCGGTGCAAGTACTTTGCAGATCTTCAGCTCTGACACAGGAACAAATCAGCAGGAAAGGAAGGAAACACGTCAGAAAATCTGATCATCATCGTCTTTGGGCTGCTTTGAGGGTTGTTTTAATGTGACAAATGCAGAATGATCTATGACTGATCATTTCACCTTCTTTTACCTCTTTCTGCTTCGACGACAGCTCAAACTACAGCTCATTAAATATTTATCTTCAAATGTGAGACACTCTCTATTCGATTTATAACTCAGATTCTGCTGCTTGGCTCTTATTTCTGCTATTTTTTCCAAATAATACTGAAATACTGGGTATGATCCTGGAGGTGATGATGCATTTGGACATATATCTGCCAAATGCATGTGTATCAGTGCCAGTTTAAAAGCTCATTTGTGAGGCTGAGATCTTCACACTCAATTAAACTTTCTAGTTTTGATCATGCATGGTCCATAAAAAAACAATTTTAGTTCATTTTAGTTTACCTCATTTAGTTTGTTACTTCATTGATGGCAACAGAAAAAAAGGAAACATTTTACATCTATAATCTGAAGGTGTTCACAGATCAGGCTGCAGACATGGTGCAGATGAAGGGTTAATAACTAACGGGTATACTTTCGCTTCCACATGTGCAGTGGGTTTGAAATTGTCTGTAGTTGAGATAAGCTGAGGTTTGGCTCGATATGAGATGGATTAGCTCCACTTTTTATGCTTTTTCAGTTTGAAGGAGATTATCACACCTGCTGGAGGTCTGCACGCTTACTCCATGCACTTAAATAGTGTTGGATCTCTGTTTTGAAGCACCAGTTTGTACAGCAAACTTTCTGCTGCCTGTATTGTGTCTGTAGGATAAAAAAAAAAGTGATTTTAAGTCCTTGGTAAATTCTTGTAAAATATACTGCAGCAGGTTTTTACTGCTTGCAAAAGTCAGAGACGCTGCGGTATCTGTAATTCATCAGACTGAGTCTGGATTGGAACCAGGCACCCTGACTTCGTTCACACTCTTCCTGATAAAAGCTACTCCTGGCTGTTGTCCAGAGTTCTTATCTCGGTCGGAAACCACTTATTATCAAATGTGAAGATTGGTAGGAGTCCTGTGTGGACCGTGGCTCCATTCTGATTCAGTGTGTTAAGTCTAAGAGGCGTTGTGCACACAGCGTTTGGCTCAGGCAGCCATTTTCAAAAGTACAATAAAAAGAAATTGCCTTCTGCTGCTGCTGACTTTCATTTCCAGCCTGTTAGTCTTCTGGCAGTGAACTGTCAGGCCAGAGAAGCTCTGATCACCACTCTCACTTCTAGTGGCTGCTCTTCAAACTCTGGCACTTGTTGAACTGGATTTTAGACTAACGTGCTGCTGCACACGCTTCGGAGTCGAGGATGACTTCATGCCTGAAGTGTTAAATGGCGTGAAGTGAATACAATACAGCACATCGTAAAACAGAGCGACTTTACTTTAACTAGGAGGGCTCTGCTCTGACTGCACATAAACACTGAAATCCACTCAGTGCTGGAGGTGATCAGCTCATGGCTGATCATTGCAGGAGACTTATAGGTGGCTTTAAACAGAAATAGAGGGTACATATAAATTGACACTAAGCGGTATTATATATATATACATTTATATTGCGTTTGAGTCTTTTATCAGACATTTCATGATGCAGAAACAGACCCGCTCTGATAAAAAATCATATTTTCCTTGTTGTCTACATGTTCACATGGCATTTTTCTAATATTGCAGGACATATCATGAAAAACCAAAGTGTGAAATTGCATTTCTGAGTATTTCTGCATTCAAATCGCTGTGAATCTCTGGCAGACCCAAATGGTAGGTACAGAGACAGTGAGATTTCCTACATCACAAATCCAAGCTCCGCCCCCAGAGCCTCACTCTGCAGGCCAGACTCAGAGAAATAGAGAGGAGGATCACGGAACAAGTGTTTGTGTTAGCAGATTGCAATGCTCGTAAAAAAGCAAATTACAATATTAAATTGTATCATGTCCCCAAAGATATTAGTGTCTGAGAGCTGAATAGCTCCTATGTTACCTGCCACTCTTCTACACTGGCAATGTTAGGCTACTAGCTAGCATGAAGAGAAATGTGCAGAGCAGCGCTGTCTCCGCCCACGACTCAGAGGCGAATTGCTAATGAGCTACTGGAGCTCTGCAGAAGAGAATCCTTGAAAATGACACAGGTAACAGATAGTGGCTTTGACTCCATTTAATTTAAGTGCATTTAACAATTTAAAGACCACCGAGAACACTTTAAGTAGGAAAACAAACATGATCTTAAAACTACCTTCAAATACACAGTAAATGTACACACTCTATAGAGCTAATGTAAACAGACTCAATACCTTCAAATATATCACGAGGGGTACCTTAAAACAGCACCAAGGTTTTAGTTTAAACTCTATAGAGTCACCCAAACTTAAAAAAGCATGCATCATTTCCTCACAGTGTGCATTAGCTCATATTACCTGTCTCTGCACAGACATTAAAATATTTAAAGCCTCTATTTTCGATGTAAGCACCATTCCATTAAAGTGAAGCACTTTCCATGTCCTGAACATCACTTTGCTCTCATTTCACTAAAATGTGTCCTGACATTTTTCCTTTCTTTGCAATATTGAAAAGCTCGACTCGAGTGTGATCAGATGTTTTCTAAGCTTGAACCATGTCAGACCACACAGTTAAGGTTTATGACCAGAATATGACTCAGCTTTATCATTATTTAAGTGGAAAGAAAATGTCAAACAAGTTAGGGAGCTGTACAGTAGGAACTGAGCTGACCACAGACAAGAGGAACCTTGACATTAATTTAAGCTGAAAAATTTGGACAAACACAAATCTGTTTGAGTATTATTTGAGGTTAATCAGTCTGATTAAAAGGTAAATAACAATGCCACTAAAAAGTCAACATTCAGACATCAAAATATTGTAGATCTCATGGCTGATTCCATGTATCAAATCTGAGCCATTCAATTCAGTGTCTTTATGTTGTTTTTGTAGCAACTCCCACTTCTCTACAAGTTTTCAGAAATGGAGACCAAACCCGGCAACACTTCCTTAAAAAATAGAACATTTTCTTCATTTATTGACTTGAGTTTCTGTTAACTTTCCCTTTTTAAAGCCTCTAAAGGCATATTTCCAACCTGGCTTCACTTTAAGAAAACTATTTTGTGTTTTTATTGAGCAAAATAACAGGACTGAATTTATCTGACCACACGAGAGAAACACCGCTTCCTCTCATCTTTATTTGTTGCAGACTCATATCTTTCTAACCTGGCAACCCCGCTCTACCCTGGCAGAAATATCTCCACCCGCTTCGAATAGCTCATTTTCTCCTGCCACATTGCCCTTTTGGTTCCTCTTAAATGTCTCCAAATATCTCAGGGGTCAAACCTGCAACACTCATACCTGGGAACTCCCAAGCTGTGTGGGCAACTCTTTTCATGGCAGAGCTGAAAGAAATCACTTTCTCCTGTGGCTGTTAGTGTTTGAAGAGGAAACACAAAAAGCTGTTTTAACTTACCTGCAAACCTCGCTGCAGCCTGGCAACCAGAACTGTCAAAAACAAATAACTTTTTTTTCTTTTTTTTTCCCTGCCTCTACACGATAGCTCCATCTGTTTCTCCAACCTGGCAAATCCTCACTGTATGAATAAAACTTTCCCCAGGCTTCATGCATCAAATAGCCCCCTCGTAGGGTTATAATACCTATACAAAGTGCAAAACATCACAATCTGGCAGCTCTCCTTCAAACTGGCAACAGAAGCAAAGTAACATTCACACAGTATTTACAGGGTCACAAGTTAAAGAAATCAAACCTGGCAACTTCACACTGTTCCTCTTCTCTCACAGACACCAACCTGTCTCATCATCACCTCTATGAGGAGGGAGGTAAACTACTTTGAGGTCTCAAGGGTGGACGTGAGATGGACAGCATTTCAGTTTTGATTTCCCTAAAAATGGATTCAGCCCGGCCGACCTAGAAACCAGTTTCCGCTTTTCCCCTGGATGGAATTAGCAGTTATATGTGCCTATCCTGGAGGTTACGTTTCCCAACTCATATTCAGTCAGCACCACTTCTATCAATGAAAAATGAATTATCTTCAGGACATGAGTTATATTTGGCAGTTTCCTCTGTTTTGGAGCTCCATGGCCCTCCTCATAGAACAGGGGTCGGCAACCCGCGGCTCTGGAGCCGCATGCGGCTCTTTCTTCCCTAAGCTGCGGCTCCCAATGGATTTGGAAAATAAATAATAAATACTTAAATTTTATTTTATTTTATTTTTTGTTTTTTTTGTAATTCTAAATTCAAAGATTATAATGCTCTTGTAACATTAAATAAACTATTAAGGCTGCAACAACGAATCGATTAAGTCAATTCGTCGTGACGAAAAAATCCGTTGCCAACTAATTCTGTAATCGATTCGTCGGGTCTTTATATATGTCCATGGATACCGGCGTGTAAACATCAGCAGGACGCACAGAAAAGAAACAGCCATGGCCGAGGCAGCGGCTGAGAAAAACATGGACACTACCCAACCCAAATCCCGACCTAAAACATCAGTGGTGTGGGAAAACTTTACCAAGACTGAAAAGGAAGGCGTTCGGTGCAACATTTGCAAAGCCCGTTTTGCATGGCACGGGAGTACATCGATGATGCGTGAAAAGTCTCTCAAGTCTCACGCATTCAGCGTATGACACACGCATTCCCACTCATTCACATGCTCACACACCACACATTGTATTTCTCACGCATTTAAATGAACATGGTGATGTCCACCAAGTTACACTTCTTCAACTATGGAACAGGTGGAAATCAGCTGAGTTTCTCCGAGAGTTCAGAAGCTGCGTGCCACACGCAAGCCAATCAAATAAAGTATATCTACTGAACAGCCAATCAAAAAGCAGCATTGCTGTATCCGGGTAGATTTTGATATCTTGCGGTTTGACTACAGAAGAAGACAGACACTCGCCGAAATAGAGCAGGTTTTTATAAGGACGAGATAGACCCGATGATTACAGTAAGTCAGTAACCTTCACATGCAGAGACCTCAACACCTCATGGCAGATAAACTCATATGATAAACTAAAGCCCTATGCTATTGCTATTAACAGCTGCATTGATGAATTTAGCCTGTTTATCCGATTAATCGATTAGTTATTAAAATAGTCGACAGATTAATCGATTATCAAAATAATCGTTAGTTGCAGCCCTATAAACTATGTTAATTTTTTTTTATCTACTTTCTTTTCTGAGACTATCGTTTGGCTCTGCCAGAGATTCACAGTGATGTGAATGCTGAAATACTCAGAAATGCAATTTCGCACTAATATAACATCCTGTATTATGTCCTGTGGCATCAGGAAAATGATATATGAACATGTAGACAACAAGAATAACATGATTTTCATTGAAGTGGGTCTTCAAGGTTATTTCAAACCATTTAAAATATTTTTGTTTGCCTGCAGAAATAACATTTCTTTTTCTCTGCAGCAGTTCACTTATTTCATAAATGCAACTCACTACAGTTTTTTATATACTTTGTATAAAGGTAAAAAAAAGATATATGCAATGTTATCTTCATTTTAGATGTCAAAGAGGTTTTGTGGCTCCCTGTGTTTTCTTTTCTGTGGGAAACTGGTCCAAGTTGCCGACCCCTGCCATAGAATGACAACAAGTGAGGCAGGGGGAGCACATCTTCCCCCCATTTCTTTCTTGCATTTTTTTAAATTCTGTTTTAATGTGATTTTCATGGTTCACATGTTCATTCACTTATCAATTTGCCAATCTCGTCCATTCATCTGTAAATTACAGCACTGAACAGTACCGAAGTACATTCACAATTCCTTTTACAATACAGATAGGGATGATTGGTCCTCCTTCAATCACACAAATGATGAAATTAATAAAATACAAACATTGAGAACTTAACCGATCTGTAAGAATCTAAAGAAGTCATCATTAAAGTCCAAACTGTCTCTTTAGGTTTTGAAACTGTTTCCTTACACACACAAAAAAAAAATTACAATATGCTGCTAGTCCATTGGTTTTACAGACCTTGAATCTTTCATCCAAATTATTAGGCATAAAATCTGGATCAAATGCACACCATCTCAGTACTTTTATCACTTCTTTCAAATTCTTTTCAGTTATTACCCTTGGCACAGCTTAAGTGGTAAACCAATCTAGGGGTTTCCCAGATCAATTAACTTATTCATCAAACCCTTATCTCGTATTGCTGCTTGAATTGGGAACCCTATGTCGCCCTCCAACTCCTTCCATCTAGCACTATATTCTGGATTGCACCAACACTAACGGTCTCAAGTGAGCTGCAATGTAATAATCTTTTTAACATGGGAGCGCAACCCCTCCCTTGTTTTTTGCTCACTGTAAATTCTGATATTTGATTCTTGGCTGACGCCCCTGCCAAATGTACCTGGAGATGAGTTCCTCCCCTCCATTTCATCTATATACTAAACAAGAAGCCAAGGAAGGTAGAGCAGCAGCAGAGACTCCCAGGCCACAAACAGAGCAGGCAACAGAGATGATGCATATTCAGTAAAAATCTAGCATGTGGTAAAAGGAGGAGCTGGGCTGGAGGCAAAAACCTCTATGGAGGATGTAAGAAGAGTCAGCATGTGCAGAAGGTAATTGGCTAAGCTGTCAGCTGACATGGACTCTGTGGCATGCCTGAACTAATGCCATGTCCAATAAGGGTTTTTGCATGATGGGTTGTGAGTTGCCTCGGCAGTACTGAAGTCACGCAAACTTTAAACTCCATCCATCTGTCCATGCACCCGCCCGTTTTGGTCCTCCTATCTGAGGGAGGTTCTCAAAGTCGTCAGGTCAAGTCCAGATGTCCTTCACCCCAGTAACATTTACAGCTCCTCCTGGGAGGGTCCCATGTTGTTCCCAAGCCAGATGGGATATGATCCCTACAGCAAATTCTGGGTCGACCCTAAAGTCTCCTTCCAGCTGGACAGTTCTGAGAGACCCTAACCCTAGGACAAGACCCTTAGATCCTTGAACCCCTTCACTTAATTTCAAAACTTTATCTGATGGAATAAATTATAAACATGCAGGGAAAGAAAATAGATTCCTGTGTTTGAAAGAGGAAATGCTGGTGAATTGAATTCTTTGGTGTCCTTTTCCGAAACTATAGTGTCTCTTGTGGCTCAGTTATTGTGGAAGCTTCAGTAAAAAGTCATGATTAAAAACTTCAGCACCGTTTCAAAAATAAATTACTCAGCCTCATGCAGATGATAATCACCGGGATTTGGTCAGTAAATTTGAGCAAGACTAATGACAGAGGATTTTATCCCTCAGAGAAATTAAAGTTTTTAACTACTTTTGTGTCTTCATACAAATTCAGAAAATTATTATTACTATTATTATTTTTTTTTTTTTCCTGAAAACGCTTTCAATTTTGTTAAACTTCAAATTAATCCCAACAGACAAGTTAAAGCTGTCCTTTTTTGATACTGACGCTCCAATGGACAATTTTTGTCTGATTGTATCTCCAATTCTCTATTTTCACCAAACAGACATCCTTTGCACCACTATCGTGAAAAAAAAGCAGAAAAACATCAGCTCCTCCTTGAAGTCCTGAACTACCCAACCTGTTGATCTGCTCAAATCTGCTGAAGAGACCTCCTCTCTCGGCCCAGCTCCCCTTCTCATCCCCAGTGTTTGCTGGCGAGTCCTTTAAGTGCTCTCCTGCACCACCAAAAGTACAAGCTGCCAGCGCTCTATGTTGTGGCCCCCTTGACTTGAGCCTCTAAAGATCGGACTTCATCCTGAGGACTCTTTATTTTTCCTGACAAACAACATCAATTCAGTCCGACACTCAGAGCTCCTCTCCCCGGCGGCACTCGACCAAATAACTGTTCTTTCCTCTAATCGTAGATACAGACAAATGAACAGACAAACTGCTGGAGTTTTACGGACTCAAGTGGCCAAAAGAAAGTACCACCAGACTAAAGGGTGTAAAAAGGTGATAAAAAATACTGATAAATATTATCTAATTTTACTCGGACATGTATTAAAGCACTGGTGGTAACTCTCCTTTTCAGTTTTTGGCTTTATGCTCCAGAAAAGCTTGGTCTGTAAAAGTACAGCAAACTGGAAATAAAAACATTCACTAAAGTCTCCAAGAGTTTATTGTTGTGTTTCATTTTTTCTCATAGCCGCAAAACCCAGACAGAAAAAGGTGTTGATGATTCATACTGCCTGAAAACTCTCAGAGTTTGGTGTACCAGCAAACTTCATCTCCTTACAGCAGGTTACACTGAATGCATTAACTCAAAGCCCATGCTGCCTTGAAACAGACCAAGTCACTGTTCATTTAATAGCTTGATAGCTGCAACTGTCATTCTCTTTTTTTCCTATACCAGGGGCACAGAAATTGATTTCAATGAGGAACAGTCTGTCTTCCTCAGTAAGTCATGTCCTCATTGTGTTTTACAATGTTTCCACGGGGCAACTTTTGCACCTCTCCTCAGTCTCATTTTATGTATCTACGGAGAGATTCATTTTGTAGCAAGGCAGAGGAAACCATCAATAATGTTACGATAACCCGACAGCGGTGACCTGCTTTTCCTGGCTGATGTTCCTCCTTTGTGCTGACGAGGCTGTAGATGAGCCGGGAGAGCCTGTGTTTCAATAACAGCTAAAGGCAAATCTTTGCCTGATGTATTTCCAGAAGAGAGGAGGGAGTGGAGCTCATTATAACAACTCTCTGGAGGACAGGTGGAGTCATATGACCAGGACCGAGCTCCGCCTGTAGGGGATTGTCTCTGAGTGTCTCATAGATAGTGTCATCTATTCAATACCACCCAGTGTAAAATAAGACACATATACGTTGGATGTGACCTTTGGGCCGACTAAAAATAACTCCGCTCCAGAAAACATGATTCACCTCAATAAAACAGAAAATTCATAAACAGCATCCACATCTCTGCTCAGAAATCATTCCACACTTCAAATCACGATTTTTACCCCACTCACTGTAACCCCAGTTTCCACCCCATGTGGAATGGCGGCGAAAAGGCCGTCTGCACAGATCGCCGCTAATCTTTACCACTCAAATGAATTATTTTCGGCCTCCTGCTATTCAGTGGGCTCTGCAGCCAATTGCCAGGGTTCTATTTTTTACAGACGCTGCAGCATACCACATAAATTCAGGCCAGATTAGCCCCTGCTGGAAAGGAAGTCTACACTACGTGTTTCAGGTGGATTGTATTTCACACCATGCAAACGTGGGCGGGGACAAACAAGTTAAAGGTTTTCAGACATCATTTTACTCTGTTGAGACCATGGATGAGGAGATGCTGATTCTGGAAGTCCAAGATCACAGAATAATCTATGACCCGTCTCATCCCTTATATAAGGACAATCATAAAAAGGATATGGCGTGGCATTCCATAGCAGTAGTAATGGGAGTGGATGGTAAGTTACAAATTAGTACCAATATATGTTGTTTCTGAGCTAATTGTTCGTTTATATAAATTTAATAAGACATTGTCATCGAGACAACTCGTTATCATGCGATTGCATGTGAACTAATTGTCACAACAGCACAAGAGTCACAGAGATGCAGGCACAGACTTGCAGTCCTGAAACTGCAGCCTGCAGCCAGCTCTGCAGACTCAGGGCGGCCTCAGGGGGTAGAGCGGTCGTCTAATAACCGGAAGGTTGGCTGTTCGATTCCCCCCTATCCCGATTGTGCTCGTTGTGTCCTTGGGGAAGACAATTAATCCACCTTGCTCCCATTGTGTGTCCTCCACTGTTGTATGACTGTGAGTGTTGTGTGGTGGTGGTCGGAGAGGCCGTTGATGCCAACTGGCACCTATGTTTCCATCAGTCTGCCTCAGGACAGCTGTGACTACTGAGGTAGTTTACCACCACCAGGGTGTGGCTGTATGAGCGAATGAATGATGTATCCAATGTAGAGTGCTTTGAGGGTCTCTGATAAAGTGCTATATGAAATCTGATGCATTATTTTTATTATTATGATATTGCCCAAACTGTCCACTTTAAGATTCTGGGATAAAGTTTTGGACTAAAATTAGTATGAGCTCATCAAACTGAAAATTCAGCCCTCCCTCCTAAATGATGCTTTAAATTTGTACACCACCCCTGCACAGACCCCTACTGGATGGGACTTTTGTTTCCTGAATTTTCTGCCATCAAACTCTGCAAACCTGCTACAACAGGCTTGAAAAATGGACACATTTGCTCCCTTTTAATTACCTGGATCTGGCTCCCAGAGCCGCCCCTGCAAAATATACTCTCCTGCTTCTGTGAAATCCTCCAACTTTGATCTTTACACAGGATTAACACCACTCCAAACAGGCAACCCAGTCAGAGAACTGCGTGCTTTGAACAAGCTTCACAGCAACTGAGCCTTCACGTCTCCAAAAGCATCCTGTCCACTTAACCTTGTTTTAAAAAACAACATGGCGAGTGGCCTTGCTCTGCTTTTTAATCTCTGTACCTGTTCAATATCCTGACCACATCTGCCTCCACATGCCTCCCTCCACTGGCTCAAAACTCACTCCAACCTGGCAACCTGTGCCCCGCTTCAAACTGAACCACTTCACATCTGAAGAGCCTCACATGACAGTGGGAGTCCTTCCCACTGCACTCCCCTTCAAATCCTTTCCACTCCTCTGCTTAAAATCCCTCCAACATGGCAACCCTGCCCTGATTGTAAACCTCTGTGCAACCTGGCAACTGCAGCAGGTGCAGCACTCTGTAGTGAGATAAGCTGAGAGGGAGGAACTCTACTCATCCTCACCCACCTCTCCTCCCTCCCTTCTCTGTATCACTGCAGCTTTAGGTACACAAACACACACCCTCTCTCAGTCTGAGGTGATGTGTGTATCAGGTGGTCTACAAACAGCTACAAGATGCCTGTGTGTATTTTGTACTGTGCGTGTGCTGGTGTGTGTTTGAAGGCTGGCTCTGCAGAGTTTCACGAAGCATCCTTGGAGCTGAACACAGTGTTTCTGTTTATGGTGACCCTCATCCCTACTTCACTTTAATTTTAGTGTTCACAACACACTTCACTCAGACAAGAGTTACTTCATGAGTATGTTTGACCTTCAGTGTGCAGAAGGATGCATGCACAGTGTTTGGCATAAGCTGGCTATTTCCACATGTTCTAACAGAGGTTTAATACCTGCAGGGAACACTAAGTGACATCTCTCACAGCCAAAGAAAACTTGTCATAGCATGATGTGAAACAGCTAAGCTGCAAATTGGCTTAGATTTCTGCATCTGTAGGATCTCGGGAACAGCAATGGTTGACCATTTACTGTGTATTAGTTTGCTTCACTTTCAAACTGCACTTGATCAAACAAACCTAAATATCTAGGCAATGGCACACAGTTATAAGAACTGCTACTTTGTGGCAGTATTACCCCAAACAAACACTAAGAAAGAAGAAAAAATGGCTCTCTAGGCCAGGACAAGAAATTAAAATCCATTCCCCTTTTACTGGCTTGTACACCACATGAACAGTGGAATAACACCAGACTTACACAGTCCTGGGGTTTCAGATCTTTCTTTTGTATCGATATGGTTACAGGTTTGAAAAGCAGCAGACAATGGCAGCTGTCCTTTATTGTGCTCTTTTCATTACTAGCAATTCAGTTTTGTTGAAATTTAAATGAGAAAATTCAGTGATATCTATGGGGAACAATAAGACAGTTATAAAGATGACAGTTTTATATATTTTTTCAGGTTTTACAGAAAAATAGACCTGTGTATCATCAGCATATCAATGTTGGAGACTTGACTGAACAACTGACTAAGAGGAAGCATGTAGAGAGGAGGGGATTTGTCCCAGGACTGGACCCTGGGGGACTCCACACAGCAGAGGGTAAGAGGAGGAAACATGGTTGTTGATAGTGACCTTGAAATGTCTATCGCTGAGGTAAGACTGAAACCATCTTAAAGGTGGGGTAGGCAGGATTCAGTTAAAGAAGCATTTTTTTTGGTGTATATACAAAAAAGTTTTTAATATCAGTCAATAGCTATTAGTAATTGATGATATTTGGTAATATAACAACGTCGCTGTGTTTTGTTATGTCTGTGTGGTCAACATTTTAAATTTTTTGAACGGCCCGCTCTTTCTGACTGTGTGGAAAACCCAAGTAAAACAAAGTAAATACTGGAGACTCTGGCAGATTAACGGGCACATAAAAAGGAGGTAGACTGGACAAGTGCTAAGAAGCCAAGAAGCCTTGTCAAACACGACCTGCTGCGTGTTGTAGTGCCGCTAAACTGTTGACCCCGGGTCCTGGACTATGCCACTTTATCCTAGTTGTAGAAGTTCTGCAAACATTGTGTTTGCTGGTAGTCTGTTGGCATCTACAGTAGCACCAATGCTTTTTACTTTCGTATTGACTGGGCCCCATTTGTAATCATTTGAAATTTTTATCTGCATTATATCTGAATTGAATTGAAATGATAAGAGCGAGCAGGAGCGTCTGTTTGTGGGCGGGCCTTGCTGGAGCAGAGAGGGAGGGGAGAGGAGGAGCTGATTTAGGAGAGGTAGTGTTTACATTCAAAGATTTCGCTCAAAAACTGGCACTTCCTCAGATCCTGCCTACCCCACCTTTAAATCTGTACCAGAAATGCAACCCAGCCATGCAGTCTGTTCAGTAAAGCAGTGTGATCAATGTTGTCAAATGTGGTGGTCAACTCTAAGAGTGAAGAGTGAACCAAACAACTCTGGAGTACCTGAATATACTCCGTTATGCTCTATGAGAGGGAAACACTTCATTGTTGCAGCTGCAGCACTGTGGTGTGCAGGGTGGCTGCTCATGCACCACATACAGAAGGTTGCTCATGATGGAGGTTTAAAAAAAGTTGTTTACATGTCCCAAATCTTTTGTTTCATTTAAGTTTCAAGTCTCCATGGGGCTGGCCAGGGTTAAGTCTTAAGTCCTGTTGTTGAAGTCTGAGTCTCACGCTAGAGATCGTCCTCACATGTACAGCCAAACAGCCTCTGAAAGTGTGTTTGTACTGAACAGACACAAAGAAAGATAAAATGACACTCGGTGAGCAAAAAGAGATACGTGTGTTGGTAAATATGTAATGAGCTGCTCCAGGCTATAAAAAGTGCTGTGGTTCTACAGGAATAAATGACGGAGTGCTGCAGGTTGTTTGTGTATCTAACAGTAAAGGCTTTCAGCTGTGGGTCAGTCTGAGTTCAGACAAAAGCTTAAAACGTACACACAGATGTTAGAGGAGGGTATGCTATTCTGAATCCTTAGGGGCAAATGCTCAGGTCAAAGTATCTCCACTAAAAGGGTCTTTCTTTCACTCCTAAAAGGTTTAGGTTGGTATTTTGATGGTTCAACAGCAGCACATCTTCAGTACATTGGCTTTTCTTATCAAGAATCTTTGCCTCACAATCACAAATACAGACACTGAAATGTGCAAAAAAAAAGTCCAGGTTTGCAAACATTGACTTCAAAATGTAATGGTCTTAAAAACAGAAACTACAAATACTCAGAACTGAAAGCATGATTCTCTGTTGTTGTGCCTGGGCAGCAGACGTGTCGGTGTGGATTAAAGAGACAGTAAATGGAGATGAAAGCATATTCTCTTCACTCTCTGCCTCCATCATCTCTATATTTGTGGGAGTGTGTGTTTGTTTGCGCATCTAAGTGAGTATCATAGCACATAGTTGACCTCAGGCACTCATCGTCATGGAAACCTCCAGTTGATTACAGGCCATAATAACCATATGGCCATGGTTTGTGGTAATGGAATATTATTACTGGCACCAATAACCCATGAGTACGTGTGTCTGAGTGTGTGTGTGTGTGTGTGTGTGTGTGTGTGTGTGTGTGTGTGTGTGTGTGTGTGTGTGTGTGTGTGTGTGTGTGTGTGTGTGTGTGTAAAGAGGTTTCTGACCCCATCATCACACAACACTTTCATCCTTCAGCATCTCGCTCTCTTTCTCTCTTTCCCCGTCCCAAATCAATTCTCATCACCGCAGCGACCATGGAATCCAATTAGAGCTGCCTCGTCACAGAGGCCCCACATGTGCGCTCACAAGTTAGTGTGCGTGTGTGTTTGTTGTAGCTTTTAAGATGACCTTGAAAATGTTCCAGAAAGCGAAATGTGAAAAAAAAAAAGAGCTGCGGCCTTCAAGAGTTAGAGGACAGCTTGAGGAGGGAGAGGTAGAGGGAGGAAGAGGTGAAAAAGAAGGTAGACATGAAAAAGCTGCTTTGTTGTTAATAGTGTAATAAACTGATTGAATATATCTGAAACACAGTCCTAGTTTAGCAAGCCACTCAAAGAAAGGAGACACAACTACGTGTGTATCAAATAGTCACATATGGGAAGCTAAAGCTTAATTCTACTTTAACCAGAGCATAGTTTTACATATGCTTGGTGTCAGATCCAAAAGTGATTAGTTGCTCCAATATCTTTCATCTTTCAGCACCAACAGGTTGTTATGGTCGAAGCTTGTCTAATGAAAGCCCTTGTATTTGTTACTGTCGGGCTGCAATTGTTTGGCAACTTAACATAAATGACTGATATGCTTCTTATTCCGGAAAAATCATCTTTAAATCATCAACAGCTGTTAAACCACTTTCTTTAAAGTGACCAGAATCCAGGAGCTGAGTGCAGCAGCTGGACGTACACAGAGGTACAAATTTATGCCAAACCAGGAGCTGTTCTGGCCTGAGCACCAGTTGAAATAAGGACGTACTTGTGCTGCACCTGGGCGTAACTTTAATGCCTCTGAAGGAGCAGGTGTGAGTCTGTAAAATCTGACGATTGAAGAATATATAGAGGAGGACCAGAACATTAAAAAACTTGATGGGAGAACACCTTGTTTATGATACAATTGATGAAAATGTGTTAAGAGAGTAAATTGGGTGAGGTTGGACACTTCTTGGACAGCAAGTTGCCCAAAGTCCTGCAGGAGCAAACCGACATGCAAACCGCACTGGGTTGAATCTCCATATAAGAGCACAAGTCAAGCCTGCTTAGATCATGGTAGAGAAGATCCAGCTCAAAAGGTAAGTATTGTAGAGAGATTACAAGAATTGACAAATTCTCCATTTAGTCATAAAGTCCAGAAAATGTTGATTTCACACACATGCAGTTGGTCTTTGTGTCTAGAAAGAAGCACACTGAAACATCTAAGAGAAGTCTTTAGGGCCTCATAGTTTACTCTTTTAGTCCTCAGACTCTTTAATAGTCCAGACGAAGAGGAAGGGAGAGGAAGGTTGGACGCTTTTTATAGAAACATGGAGCGGTGAATTACTTAAATACAAGAAGGACAGCTTTGAGTCGACGTGAGGACACAGATTGAGTTTGGATGCAGAGGAAGCTGAGCAGATCAAGAAGCATCTGGAGGACTCTTAGTTTGATCATAATTAATGTGAGGATCCAGCGTCTGATTCAGTTAAGCAGGAGAACCCGACGATGGACGGTAATGATTAGATTTCAGCTTCTCAAAGCCTTCACAGCCTGTGTTTTATCTGCTCCTCATTCACTCGCTGCTCTTTTCTTCCATCAGAATTAAAGTCCTTTAACTTTTTCTTCATCTCTCTCTCTCTCCCTCTCTTTTATCACTCGACACAGTCCTTTCACTATTGTCAAACTCTTTAATCTCATGTCTTTTATCTCTTTTCTCTCATTGTGTCCTCCATCTCTTCTTGTCTAGTTTCCAATGTCTCTATTACCAAATTTCTCTCCTTTTCTCTTTCTACTAAAGAGCTCATTTGGTTTTCTGTCTCTTTTCACTTGTTCATCAGTCTTTATCACTTTTCCTTACAGCTTTACCTCACTTTGTTACCTATCCCTTTTTTCCAACGCTCCTTTATTGAGCCTGGTGTCATGATTACACTGGTTTTATTTAAGGCAGACATGTCCAAACTATTCCACAAAGGGCCGGTGTGGCTGCAGGTTTTTCTTCCAACCAATCAAGAGCACACAGTCTGTGTGAATCAGCTGTATGAAGACTGAGATCAGCTGATGAAATGAGTCAAGTGTGGTGTGCTGTTGCTTGGTTGGAAGAAAAACACCAGCCACACCAGCTCTTTGTGAAATAGTTTGGACATGCCTGATTTAAGGACAACATGGAGTCTTTTTTGTTTGTGTGTGGAGTCTCCCTTTTCCCCTTACAAAGGTTGGGCGGCTCCTCGTCAGCTGAAGCCCCTCCTGCACCTTCACACCTGCACTAGATCAACCTAATCACCACCTGCTCTTAAGCTCTGCTCTCTGACTGCTCAGCGCCAGATTATTCTTGGCCTCTAGTGAGTATTTTTAAATTTTGAGACTTTTTTTCTGTGACTGTTCAGCCCGATATTTACCCCTGTTGTCTTTCTTCTCCTTTAGTACCTCCACCAGCTGCCAGCGCCTACCCAACCTCTGTCAAGACTGCCACACTCTCTGATCAGCTCCACTCACCTGTTGTCTTCTCCAGCTCACATACAGCCTCACCCCCTCACCATGGATCTCCTCCACCCCTTGGACCCCGGACCTCTCACCATCTTGTACCTATCTTTATCGATAAAACCACTTACAGCGTCATCTGCCTCCGCTGCCTGCTTTTGGGTCCCTTCAGGAAAACAAACCCTTACACTTGATCCATTTTCAGGAAACGACAGCTAAGATTATTACTGTCAGTGTGATCTACCTGCTTAGACTGTTAGCAAACCACAGACAGACTGAGGGCCTAAATTGTGTGAGCAAACAAAAAAATTGCACATGTATTGTTTGTGATCTACTAAGATTGTATGCCCAGTTGATAACAAGTGCAAAAGTAGTGCAGACCTCCATATTCTGCAGCTAATTTTCCAAACGCTGTACATGCCCTGCAGGTGTGGATACTCAAAGTGAGCACATCATCCTTACACTGGCTCCTGTTCAGTACAGAATTCATTTTAAGCTTTTAATATTTGTTTTTAAGGGCCTGAACAACCTTGCTCCACCCTATATTTTGGAGATGCTACAGCCTTATTGCCCACCCCGACCCCTAAGATCAGCTGATCAGCTTTTACTGACGGTCCCCAGTACTAGGCTGAAGCTCAGAGGGGACAAAGCGTTTGCAGCTGCTGCCCCTAAGCTCTGGAATGAGTTGCCCTTGAAAATTAGACAGGCCTCCTCATTTCCTGTTTTTAAATCCCTTTTAAAAACGCACTTTTACTCATTGGCTTTTAGTACATTGTAGTGTTATTTTGTTTTTTATCATCTTAGCACTTGCCGTGAGCCTGCTTATTTATACACTTATTTATTATTTTGCATTAATGTATCTCTGCTCGCTTTATCTTGTTCTTTGATTGTTTTATTTGTTGTTATGTGTCATTGTACAGCACTTTGGCTACCCTTGTGGTTCTTTTAAATGTGCTATAGAAATAAAGTTGATTGATTGAAGTCCATGCGTGTGCCAAATATCTGCACCAGGGTGTGCAGAGAGTAATCTGTCATGTTTGAGTTGCAGCAGTGCTGCATGCATGTTTACAGTCGTGATGCAGACTCTGCATGTACATAAAAAGGGAGGGATGTTTGTGTATTGCAGACTGACAAAAGTAGCTGCAAGTCTTTTAATAACTGAGCTCTGAGAAGTGCTAACAAGAAAGACATAACCCCAATTTATTCAATGGTGCTTCTGTGCATTAGGATTAAGGTTATAAATATTGTCATTTTGCAGAGCCAGCACAAGTAATATAGAGACACAGCTATCTTTGAAAACAAACCTCTGAGCCCATTCATCAAAGAGTCTCTCAGAAACAGATATTAAGAGTCTCCTGAGTCTCTCTGTCTGCTCTTTAGAGGAATCAGAGCCTTTAGGTTTACCTCTGCATGTAACCATATGTATGTAACCATAGCTACAGAGGGAGGGACAGATAATACCATTAATCTGACGTCACCAGACTGGCTGTCTGCAGGTCAGTAAACACAACACTCTGATGTAAGTGAGGTATGGCTATGATTGATCACACCTTCATACAGTATATTTCAGAGACAAAGTCCTCTCTGCAGCAGGTTTATTGACTTCCTGCTTCATTTATAGGGACAGTAATGAGAATGAAATTTTGCTGCATTCCGGCCCTCATAGGTCTGCTCATACAGATTTTCTCCTCTTGGTGTTTGTTAGTAATTTAAAGAGTGTGCTGCTCATCCATAAGAACTTTCCTAATTAGTCAGAAAAGAAATCAGTATTTCATTAGTCAGACAGTTAACAAACCAGCCCACTCCAGTCAGACGGCCATATGTTCACTTTTTCAGTCTGAGTGGGAGAACGCACCATCACCATCACCAGGCTGTGTTGTTTATCTCTCCATTTAAAATGAAAAAAAAAAAAAAAAGAACAGCTGTTATGGAAAAATTAAATATCCCCATAAAGTATCCACAGATTTAAAATTGGATCACCATAAAATCAGGAACAGATCAGGCAGCTGCTGAAGCGTGATTGTTTATTTATTTACTGATTCAAACTTGTTTAAACTGCAGAAACGGACTCTTTTTAGAGTTCAACGCTAGAGGGCTTAAAGGCACTGTGAGGAGTTTTATGTTTGTTGATTCTGTTAAACCCTCAAGACCTCATTTTCCATAGCATCGTCACCGGTTGTGGTAAAGATGTCTCTCTTGCCATAGTGTACATTTGTTGGGGAAGCTCTTATTTCTACAGATCATCATGTTTACACTGCTTTCCTTTGTTGGAGACTGTTTGCAGGATTAGAAGTGGTGAGCTGAGTTATTGATTTGTATTTATGTTTAATTATTTACTGCAACATTTCACAGACCAGACTGTAAACACTGAATTTGGGCTGTAGGGGACACATCCAGATTGACAACAACATCCTTGTTCCTTAAAGTCCTTAACTCTTACGGGTTCCGGGTTGACGGCACAGAGGACACAGACTGTCTCAGCTCCGACAAAATCGATTGTTTTAACTATTTTAACTATTTAACTTCTTTTTAGACATCAACCCACCCACCGCCAGCTTTTATTCAGCTCATTTTTTAAAACATAGCACAAGTTTTTAGCCGTCGTGTTTGTGTATCGCCAAATTCCAGTGGGAAAATCTGGAAGTTGTCTAGTGGATCACACTAGCCCGGCAAGCGCAAGAGGCGGCGGAGAGAGAGGAAGCAGAAGCAAGGATGCCGGTCGGGAAATGCACACTCTTCGTGATTTGACCAGGATTAATTTCCTTGTAATAAAAATTAATGAATAATAAATAAGCCACTTGTAAACATTTATAAACAACGATGATAAAAGTATAAATATTAAATAATGATGTTAATGAGCTTTATGAGTTAATTAAACATTTATCTGAATCTTTATTTTTAGCTTGTAGCACACTTGCAGAAAACTTCAAACCAACCTGAATTTATATACTGTATATATAGCTTTTATTTTTTTCTGTTATGAGTACAACTGTAAATAAGCCTTTATCAGAATTATAGCCATTCTTGATTATTTATTGAGCTCCCTAGTAAGCTCTTTGTGAAATATTAACAATTTAAACATCACTTATTATCTTTACATGGATGTAATACTGTAATTTTACGCACTTATTTCTAGCCAATGGTTTTCCTTTGCAGCCTCTGAATCTAAAGGAGTAACAGTGATTTATTAAGGTGATTATGCACTTATTTCAAAATGAGTCAATAAGTCCTGCATTGATAAAGTAATGTGTTAGAATGATAAAACAAAGTGTTGCAACAATGATACACAATACCAATGGTATTTTGCATTTCATGGTTTGTTAGCGTCACCTGACTAACTGTTGGGCTTGTCTGTGTGGTAATGATTCATCGTTTATTTATTTTCTGGGCTTAAATTCATGACTAGGGTATGCACTTTTATGGCGTAGTCACAGCAGGTGGGAGTAAAAGTTTTTGCATGAGTGAAGTGGAGGTAAAGTAGACAGGCCAAGTCTTTGTGGGGTGATGAAATTATGCAAATCTGCATCAGGAGTTGCACAAATTGAACCTACATTCGACATCCTTTCATTCACTTAGTAGAACAATCTAAACTCAAATCAATGGCTTGTGCTTAGATAACCAGTCAACATGGAGATCCGCTTTAGACGAATACATGGTTGTTCAGACAAGTTTGATTCGGCTGATTTGAAGTGGTTTTCAGTCATGTGCTTGGAGTCCGATAGAGTCGGCAGATCCACTTCAGAGGGTCCCAACTCATCAGTTTATTCAAATATAAACCACCCATTGTCAGCGGTTAAGCCTCTGAGAAAGTAACTCAGTCAGTTATCTGGTCAGTAAGTCAATAACAGTCAGTAAAACAGTCAGTCAGTCAGCAGAGAGGTCAAACATGAAGACGCCAAGGTTTTATCAACGAGGAGCAGAGAGGAAACAAGGGGAGGACACTTTGAGCACACACACAAACATGATTATTATAACTGATAATTAACTCTGACATCCTCCAATGCACACACACACACACACACACACACACACACACACACACACACAAGGAAACCCGCTCAGCCCAATGATTGACCTGGAGTGGACCTCTTGGCCTTCATTTTCTCTGCTCTGCGTTAATCAGATGGAGATTACAGAGGGAGAGGAGACACACACACATATACACACACAAACAGTGGGGGAAAACAGAGAACATGAGATGGAAAGAGGCAGAGGCAGATTTACTAAACAGAGAAAGAAGACAATGAGGGATAGAAAGAGTGGCAGAGGAAGAGCAGAGGAAGGGTGGAGTGATGACGGAGTGATGAAGGGAGAGAGGCTGCTGGTTGGATAATTGTGTGAGGAGTCTTTGTAGTGTTCTCTAAGCTGTCTGACAGTCAGTTAGTCGGCTGAAACTCTTCTGCTCATCACTGTGAAAGACTCCCATTTGAAGTCAAGTAGACCTCTCTCTTCCTCCCTCTCTCTTCTGCTCTTCTTCATCTCCTCTTCCCCCTTTCTTCTTCTCTATTTTTGGTGAATCTATTTCATTTTTAACCAAGTTATATCAAAAATAATCCTTCAGGAAAGAAACATCTTCAACTTTAGAAAGAAACAACTTTAACCTAATTCAGAGGCTGGCTTTGTACCATGCATGGGTTCAATGAAATCCTGTAACCCTGTAACATCAGCCACCTGACTCACCCTGTACACTGCCACCTACTGGCCAGTTCAAATCGAGGTGGAAATAGCATGCTGAAATCTAAAGAATGGCATGCTGGACAGGAATATCATGCAAATCCCTTTATTCCACAAGAGCGATGCAGGAGAGACAGTGTTGCCAACTTCTGAGTAAGGAAAATCGATAGTGGCTGTCCTAGAAGTCGCTAGAGGTCACTAGATGATTTTATCGCCCAATGTGTATAAATTTTTAGTTAAACCTGTGATGAAGTTTACAGGTTCAAAACCATAGACTGTATATAGAATGGACACTGTCTGCCTCCTCGCTGGGCGAGCCACTCCGAGAACAGCACCCTCTGTGACGGGCTGCAGTATAGGTCATAAATTCCGCCTCCTCCAGTAATCTCTATGAAGAAAACTTTAGAAATTTATTACACACAATATAAATTTTTCTCCCCCCTGGTTGTGATGTTGACATGTAGTTACTGTAAGACTGGTTTGCGCTCAAGTCCTTTTTTTTCTGTGTGGCTAAAAGTTATTTGGGGGTTCATGTTTTCTATGATTGACACTTGATACAGCCTATGGGCGTATGAAGATTGTGTAGCTCACCCGGGGGATACACTGTTTGAGCCAAGCGTCATCACAGCAACTGCTGAATGCGTACAATGCTACTGCGCAAGTGGTGGTTCCAGGAAGTGAAGAAAATCCTGGAAATACTGAGAGATTTTTGGCTTCAGAGTCATTTAATGACAGAAGGCAGAGCCAAGTCAGAGTCAGAGCCGACTCACATCCTACATCAAGATTTGAAACTTTTATCTTCCAGCAGGAGGCATGAGGTCCAGAGAAGTAGGCAAGTATGCTGTAGGTTTGTATAGCCCTGAACTTCTGCAGCAGCCTACACACATGCACCTCCTCCAAAATGTAG